TTTTTTTTTTTTTTTTTTTTTTTTTTTTTTTTTTTTTTTTACTGTGGGTAGGGTGGGGGTAAAAACCAGGCTGTCTCAGCTCACCCAAATGGACCACCAAACTTAGCACTGTGTTTGTTTTGCCATTCATTGTGTTTGTAGAGTTAATGATGTTTGTCTATTTCTTTGTAGCGCCACACCCTTTGTAGGTAACCCATTTATTCCCTTTTTCTTTTTCTAAACAAGACGTTTCAAATATTCAACTCTTCACTTATTGCAAATTTAACACGGGTCTTAAAGATAATGATAGACGATCAATCACTGTTGTGTTGTACAATATAGTGTCTTCTCACTTCGAGCGTCGCACTACAACATGGACAAAGAATCTTTTCGCACGTTTGAATGATCCACCTCTGACCTCACGGGTATCTCGAGTATGAATATCACGACATTAAGTTAAAGAAATAGCTTGGTTTGGAACACGTTGAGACGGTAAAACGAGAATTTAAAATAAACCGAAAACCAAACCAAAACTTTTATCCATTTTGGTTCATTTATTAAGTGCTGTTCCTTTCACTGAGATATGGTAAATTCATGGGAGTTACTGATCCAAACTAAACCACTTCCTCTTCACCCCTTCAAAATCTTCATTTTTACTGACAGAAAAAGTGCTTTCAAACGGTTAATTTTTCAAAAACATAATTACCATGGTTAGCATTTTCATCTAAGGTAGGTGAAATCATGAATAATTTAACCACGATTAATACACGAATTAACGGTTGATTAACAAAGTCAAATTCTACAAATTACACTGTTTTTCTCTACCAACTCACAACCATGCAGATATTTTATAATTTATTGAACTAATAGACAAATCGTTTCACGATGATTAATTCTAGGTTAAATAACGTTCGAACAACGTTCTTGAAAGACGATGACAAAAAATAGAGTAAACACAAAAGATCAAATACCGAGATAAAATAAAAAAACGAAGCGACAATAATTGAGAAATAGGAATGAAAGTTTAAAGAGAAGAAAGGGACAATTCCACAAAAACTTGATCCTACACACATTGGATCCTCATTGCATAACATCAAACATTTACTCGCCACAGACACACACACACACACACAGGATATGTTTTATTTATTTATTTATTTTTTAAAATTTTAATTTTGTTTTAAAATAAATAAATAAATATATATATATATTTAATAACTAAAAAAAAGTCATGAGCATTAAGTTGGGTCATGCATAAAGAGTGCACAAAACCATCTGTTCATGTTATCTCTTTCTCTCTCTAAAAATAAAATTAAAATTAAAATTAAAAATTTTATTTATTTATTTATTGTTATTATTCTTCCAAAATTATTGATGCATTAATTTTGGATGTAAACTTTGAGGATTCTCATAAATATTAATTTCCACAATATATTGTTTTCAAATTATTCACTATTTGTGTATTAAATGCATTCTGTCCATTTTTTTAAAAAAATTATTAATTTGAACGTGAATCAAATGAATAAAATATGTTCGATTCTTATTCCGCTGACGATTGAATTAAGGGAAACAAGGACGTAAACGGTTCATATAGACTATGATCTTCAATTAAGCAGGTTGATTTTAGACGGGTTTAAGCGTTTGACAAGTTTAGGTGAAGAAATGGGGTCGGGTTTAATACTTTTTACATGATCTTACTACTTTTCTCAATTTTTTTTTTTGTTTTGTTTTAAACACTCTAGAATATAATTTGGAATATTTTTTGTTTTTTTTTTTTCGAACTTTTAAAAGTCTTGTTTTAGTACTGGAATACAGTATAGGACTTTATGTCACACAATAATATTCATTAATCTAATGTTGAACATAGCTGACTCGAGAGACACAATAAGTTTAATGTTGATTCGAATGCGGAAGAATTTATTAAAAATACTCGGGTCATAAATTTAAATACTCGACCGAGAAATTTTAAAATAATAGAGTGGGGTCCACATTGTTGGACCTAAAGTTTGAAAGACTCCCATCCCTTCACTCATCACTAGAGGGAGATATGTATATATATATATATATATATTTGGTTAAGAATAATTAAAAATAAGAAAATAAAAAATAAATAAAAACTTTACAGCTGTTTACCAAAGATATTTAATTATTTATGAATAAGAAAATGTAAAAAAAATATGGGTTTTGGTCCAAAATTGAAACCCTTTTGATTGTATTAAAGAAGCAAGAGACAAAGATGGGTTAATTATGAGCAAAATATTTGGTCAAAAAATAGAATTTTTATTTTATTTTATTTACAAAAAGAACCCCCAATTTCTTGATAATTGCAATTGTAGCATTATTATTAGGGTGGGGACAAATATTGATTCAACATTTAGTCCTTTGTTTTTCTTTTTTTTAGGTTTGTAGCAACAAAGCTTTTTTCCTCAATAGTAAATTATTATGACTATGGCACACATCTACCTTCTATTTGCACCACTCTACCCAACCTTAATACAACGAGAAGGATGAGATGGGTAAATACGGAAATTGATTGGACAATGCTACGTCTTTTCTTTTAATTGAATCGTCAAATTAATCTGATTACTTTACCTGGGTCGGGATTTGAATCGTCAAATTTATCTGATTACTTTACTTGGGTCGGGATTGATCCGTTGGTTTTTTTTTTTTTTTTTATCAGAGGGACATGACATCAAAGTTTACCAGGGTCAAGATTGAATTGTTGTATTTTTATTTTATTTTATTAGAGGCTCATGACACCTGGGTCGAGATTGAACCGTTGTTTTTTTGTCCTGAAGTTTACCTAGGTCGGGATTGAGCCGTTGTTTTTTTGTCAGGAAAACATGACACCGAACAAGGTTGAACTTTTGGGAAAGGGAGATCTATTGAATCTCCTTTGAACTTTGAGGTGAATAGTGCAATTTTTGGCCTATAATTGAAACGGGTTCGTAAAAGATATGTCTATAAGATAACCCGGTTGTATTATCGGTCGGCCAAGTAACACGAGATTTTATTAGAAGATCAAAATCCACCCCTCTTCACTTAGAGCCAAAAAGCAAAGGAAATTCAAGAGAATTCAGATTGGGATTGAATGGCTGAAAGGCACTGTTATTGTGCAAAGAAAATGCAGCTTTAATAAGAACACTGTTCAGAGAAGATCGGACAGGACAATGAATCAAACACCATTTTCCTACAGACAAGACAACCTTGGCTTCTCCGATCACTCCATAGCTCGTTTTAAGACATACCCATCTCTCCCTGAAACCATGTGGGTCTGCTCTGTTTTCCCTTTAAACCAGTTTCCAGCAGCTCAATAATGAATCAAACAAAGATAATATTCAAATCATGAATCGAAAAAAGTAAAAACAGTGATGAACAGAACAAGAAACCAAGAACTACTGTGCTTTATTTAATAATAATGAGAGTTTCCTCCAAAACAAAAAGGAAAGTGATCTGATTTGAAATCAAGTAGAAATGCATACTTTTTGTCTTCTCCTCTGCCATGCCATTTTTTTTTCTGGTCACTTCTGTTCTTGTGAACATTCCCATCAAATCCCCATCACTGCTCTTCCTTCCACCTTCCAATTCTAATGCCAAGAACATTATGGGCAAGCAATTTGATATCAAAAGTGAGAAATGGAGCAGAGCATTATAACACATACATAATCATTTCCTAGTTCTTTGGAGGGGAAAGGGGGGCGGATTATGAACTAAGAAGGGCTGCCAACAATGTCCAAACAGACCCTCCTGTTCAGAGAATGATATAACATTCTTGGCTCTTCGGTTTTGTTCTTCTTGAAAGATGGTTCAGGTGAAGAACAAACTGATGCTGCTGCTCTCAATGCCCATGAATCATTGGAGCTGTCTGAACTGAAACCAGCATCAATCACACCATTTGGGCTATCAGGAGCTTGATGATGTTCGTACTTCCGCTTGTGGGGATTGATGGAATGATATAAGCCATTGCTACATGCCTTTGAATGCTCCACTACAAGATTGTAACAGCCTTGCACTTTGTCCTGTTTAAATGGAGTTTCAAAAGTTAAGATCAAACTGGTTTTGAATGAAATCAACATGGAAATGAGATTTGTTCTTGAACAAACCTTGCTCATTTTAAGAACACCCAGAAGATGATCTTGGTGCTCCATTGACTTATGGGGTTCAATCTGTTCTATAATGTTCATCATTGTTGCAGTTGCTAAGACAGATGGAAGATAACCCACAAATCTTGAATCTAACAAAACCCAGAAGAAGTTTCAACTCTGAACATGAGAATTCCAGAAAAAAAGATCCAAATTTTAACATTTTCGAGTTCATTTCCATTAGAACAGCACTAAATCAACTCTACTTTTAAGTGGTTTCATGTTCTAACCTGAGAGAAGAGAAAGGAGGAGATTCTCAGAACGCTTGAAGAACTCCAAATGAAGATTGGTCTTTAATCCAAGCCTTCTTACAATGTTGTCAAGATATGAATATGAAGTAACCAAATGCATCCTCCATTGAAGAGTTGAGAGCACTAAAAGCTCCATTCTCTGAATGGTTTTGGCCTCAAACACAAATTTCGCATCCTCCACCTGAACAGACATGTAATCAAACATGTTATCTACAAGAACAAAGCTCAATTATAACCAAAACCTTTGAACAACACGATTTGAAATGATGGGTATTGCATTTTATCAACATACTTGAAGGTCAAGTGGCAGAGGAACTTCAACCTCCTCCACTTTAGCCGCCAACGAGAGGCAAGTGACAGCCACAAGCTGGTTCATCCATGGCTTGTCACTTCTAAAATGAAAGCTCGAGAGGAACCTGTCGAAATAAGCAACGGCCAAAATTGCAGTGAGAGACGAAAACCCATAATGGGATTTAACTTTAAGCATCCACTCCACAGACGAAGAACGAGCAGCAGAGACAGAAGGATCCATTAACAGAGGTTCAAGCTGGAGATTGCTCTGTTTCAGCTGCTCTGTTTCCTTAGACAACAAGGAGAGAAGGCGTTCATCTTCCCCAAATAGATCTTCCTCCAAAACATCCAAAGAAAAAACATGGGCTTGATGGGTCTGTTCTAGCTCATCTTCATCCTCCTCCTCCTCCCATTTCTCCTCCTCGCAAAACAGAGAATCGAGCGAAATCAAATGGGTTTGGGCTTCATCGTCGGCTGGCTCATAGCGATGCATTGCCATCGAATGAAGCTTGGATTAGGGGACTCAAAAGAGGAAAAAGGAGGAGCTCAAAGGGCCATCCATGTCCGGCGGAACTGAGAAAAAGGGGATTGAAGAACCAGAGGAGAGGAGAAAAAGAGAGAGAGAAAGGGGAAGCGGTGGGTTGTATTGGTGGAGATTGTCTTTATGTTATATATGCATTGGGGTTCGAAAATGTTTGCGCTTTCGGTGTGTCCCGTTGGCGGGCAGAAACGCAACGGCACACACACCAAGCCGGACCCCATGAAAACAACCTCCTAAGAAACCTAAATAAATGCCAATGGCTGCCAATTCAATATGACAGAGAGAGGATTTCTAGGGTTTTACTTTCAAATAAGACTCCTTTTTTTTTCCCCTTTTCTTTATGGATTTCTTCATTTGGGTGTTATTATAAAACACTCCCTTTTTCTTTTTGAAAGTTTTTTGAGGTTGCCTTTTTCTATGTCTATCTAATGTTTTAATATTAATATTATAAGCTTAGAGATTCAAACGTTTCACTTCTTTTGACTTTTTTTTAACTGGGCTCGAGAGTCAAGTGTGGGTAGGGATACTATAATAGCTCAAACCACTTCTAAAGGAATGTTTAAACACGAGATTTAGAATGTGTATGATACTGATGCTAGGGAGAAGTTTTCCACGCTTATAAGGAATGTTTAAACACGAGATTTAGAAGAAAAAAAAAAGTAAATTAAGATTTAAAAATTGAAATGAAAATGGGAAAGAAAAGGGTCCCTCACGCCGGGATTGGAAAAACAAAAAAGGACAAAGGAAGGTGCAGACAGGACAATGCTTTACTTTGACCCAAGAAAGTTGTTATACCAAACTCACGCTTTCAATTAGGGGCCTTCATCCCTTCATTTTATAAGTTACCCTCTCTTTTTAGGCCCATTTTTTAATTTCGTCCTAAAATTAATTTATTGGTGACTTAAAACGACGTCCCCGTGACTAGAATGCTTAGTCTAACTAAACACATAAGAACAATATTTACGTTTAATTTTTGTTCAACGTTCTAGCAGATTTCTCTACTCTTAAGGTTTATGAAATGTTAAAGATAATATTACAACTTTTGAAAGAACGAACAAAATTTGTTTGTATTTTTTTAGCTAACAGGAGAAGAACTCTCCTTTATAGCTCTCCGATTTCCTGAGGTCAAGTGTACTGCCAGATTGAGTTTACAATTATACTTACTTAAACTTTATGTTATAATTCTAATCTAATCTAATCTATCACCAATAAAATATTGATGTAATGAGGATCCTATGTACGAAAAGCATAATTCAAGAACGTATGTCAAAGTTTGTTTATTTAATTTATAATCTAACCTCTTGGTGAAATACACGTCGAGATTAGATACATGTCAATTATTGCTGAGTTTGACAGTTAAGCCAAGTCATCCTCAGACAAAAAAGTGATGCTAACTAGATTTATGTTTAGCTACAAGTCATCCTCTCAGGGCTACTATTGCCACCCACCATGGTTGGTGTGAGATCCCACGTCAATTGAAGAAGAGAACGAAACATTTCTTATAAAAGTATGGAAACCTGTTCCTAATAAACACGTTTTGAAACTGAAAGGTTGATGGTGATATATAACGGACTAAAGCGGACAATATCTACTAGCGATGAGCTTGGACTCTTATACATGGTCACTACCGTCAATTGCCACCCGTTGCTGCCATCGTACGCCCTCTCTCGCTGCTAACCCTTTTGTCACCTCAGCTCAAAGCCCAATCCAGCAGAATCAACAACCCAAGATACTAAACCTATAGGAACAGTTGAACTACCAATCCGCAATTCCTATATCTTCAAAACGATTTCAATCTCCAAACACCATCTCAGATCCATCAACTTCGAATTAAACACGGTGATAAAGAAGAACCTTCAATTCCTTAAAAAATGAGGTGCAAAGCTTTCAAAGCTACTTCAACCACCATCCTTTTGGTCAAAAAATGGCAATTGTGTTTGATTTTCCTCATTTCATGTTGTATGGTGAGCCTTTAAGTGAATAGATGGACAGCCATTGATGGCCTATTAGTTGTCGTCCAAAAGAAAAATTTTGTGTACCTTTTGAAATCATGCCCCACATGGCCTTTGACCACCATAACTGGATGAGAGTGACCAGCTAGGCTCTGTTTCTTTTGACTCCCCTAATTTAAACAAAACTTCAACCACTCAGTTTAAGAGGAGGATAAAAGATGGAGCAGAAGGGGGGGGGGGGGGGG